GAGTCCCTATTGCAGCTCTTGTATGCGAGATTGTACAAGTTATGGTGAAGTCCCTCCCCCCAGATGAAAGGGAAATCTGTTTCAAAATTCTACCATCACTTTTTAGACTTGTTCAAATGTCAGAATACTTTATAATTAGCGAGTGAAATAAAACTCACAGGAGTTCGTCAGTGAACATTCCCAACTCCTATTTTTCAGCTTTCCAACATATCATGCTAATAAATGATCACTTGAAATTAATGCAGAATAAAAGATATCCTTTTGGTATCACCAAAGATCGCCGTTCCTTCCGAAGATGGCATGACTCATCCTACCGTAGGATGAGTCTCTCACTCCAAAAACTGTACTAAATGCACTACTTCTGCTGGTGTGGGCTAGCAGTGACTGTCTCCCAAGACAACGATTCTTTTTTGCTCAAGGAAATCAGTACAGTAAATAACTTTTCTACCCTTCGAGACAGTCACAATGCTTGAGGCGGCTGCAACACAAAAACAAAATAACTTCACAAATGTCTCCAAACAGTCAAGCTGAAAATCTAAGCCAGAGTTCCATTTAACAGCCTGTCAGCTTTTTGATGGGAAGCTAATGAATGCAGTGGCAAACAAATCCATCAAACCGAACATCAAAACAACTGCACTGCATCCCACCAAACGGAAAAATGAAATACAACCCGTGGACCAGCTCTTTGATGCAGCCGAGCCGGGACGTCACCTTCCGCGTGCCACCCAGACACCAGTAACAGCAGTAAGCAAGGACTCCATTTCAGCGCAGACGGGGTGGGGGGAAGGCGTCAGACACGAAGCGCATCATCTGCAATGTGCACACGTGTCTTATTGCAATTGCTAAGCTGTTACGGGTTTTTAAATCACAGCCAGAAGAAAACAGATAGCATTACATTCTAGATTACCCTCATATTCAAAGCTATAAAGATGTCGAAAATAAATAGCTGGGTGGTATGTTTCAATAATCTTACAGCTGCCCAAGAAGAGGATTATTTAAAGGCCTTTCCTACATTATGGACACTCCTTGAAGGTAAACAAACCTCGTCTTACCTCCTTATACAAAACTAGTGCAATGTTTACCACAGACAGGGACTCGATAGGCACTCATTAAACCTGAGCTCTGCTCAGATTAGCAAGCCCAAGAGCGTTGGGCCACTTGGAACATTAGTGTCTTCTTCTTCTTCAGTGAAAACTTTACCTCTGAGAAATCAAGCCCTTCCCAACCCCTCCCCTCCGCCCAAAAAAAATGGCTGCTGTTAAGTCAATTCCAATTCGTTTTTTGCAATCCCAAGCCTGGAAGCACAACCCCAGTACTTGAATCATTCCACGCAAGGCACGGCGTTCTTAGGGAGAAACAATACCAGACACTTGTGCTTTAAAGCCTGTAGTAAACAGGCACCAAATGATAGTCAATTTACAGATGGGAGGTGGTGGCATTTATATGACACGGAGTTGTTTCCAACCCACTGTTGTTGTTAAGGGTCGCTGAGTCAGTTCCGACTCATAGAGACCCTCCATAGGGTTTCCAAGGAGCGGCTAGTGAGCTCGAACCACCGACCGTGTGGTTCAAATCGACTTTTCAGTCCAGCGTATTAACCCACAGTACCACAACAGGAGTCTAGCTTCTGACCCACAGTTATCCTATATAGGGTTTCTGAGGCTTTAAAAAAAAGCAGAAAGCCTCACCCTTTCTCCCTCAGAGCAGCTGGTAGGTTAACAGCCCACCTGGTAACCCCACTACCCTACCAGAGTTCCTTAGAGGTGAAAGATACAAACCAGGAAGTACACTAACTTGCTATAACTACGTGGATACTACACTGCTTCAATGTGGATGCCAGTATTCTGTTTGTGCCAAAGCACAAGGTGGCATGCTGAGTTTTCCGTTTTGTAGTAGATGGGTCATTGTATGTGGGCTGTGCTCTCAACAGGAACAGGCTGGGTGTCTTCCTTTCTAAACTACCCCTAATAAATATAAGTTACTATCATTATTATCTATAAAAATATTTTCATTCTTCTTGGAAGCTTAATGAAGAGCCATTTCCATTTAATCTTAGGTCACAGAAATGACTTGGGGCAGAAAATTCTGCTAATAACAGGAGTTTGGTTTTATTTCAAAATCCCATTCCAGTATTTCCTGAACTACACTTGACACAATTTCATGTCATTTTTTAAGTATGCATGTAACTTAATCTTAGAGTTAGCTTTCTCCTCAGAAAATATTTCCATGTAAGCTCACCCAAAGGTTCCACAAGCAAGTTTGGTCAGTGTATCATGAAAACCACACAGCTGTTCCAGAAAGTGGCCAAGTTAAGGCTGTACAAGTCTTGGTCACCATTCTCTGCAAAATCTAGGTGCATTTTCCATACTCTGTGAAACACATCTTTGTCATTTAGAAGCTGCCCTCAATCTGCCTGCACCTTTGCCTACAGAACCACAAGAAAAGGAAACCAGGCTAACGGAAGCCAATAGCTCATTAGAGATGTCTTCTGTGTAACATCGCAGGGGGAAGTAATTAAATGTAACGGAAGTTGTTGCTTGTGGATGAAAATACACAGTATGTGAACGACATGAAATATACTGGGTAGGAGATGTAAAATTGGTGACACCAAACTTAACATGAAAGTGTATTTCTTGCTAAAGTGTGTATCACATCACTCCTTACAAGAACTTCAATTCTGCATGCACTGAGGGGCGTTTTGATCACTTCTTTCCATGACACCTCTTGCTGTTATCATTTGACTAGACACCTCCCTCTATAAATAGCTGTTAGCTAAGCCATGGACTGCATTCTAACAGGGAGAGGACCACATCTGTCCAACATGAAGAAGCATACAGCCACCAGAACACCTTACCAAAAGAACATCTAACGGCCTCATGAGAGAAAGCAAACATAAAATTACCTCCCAGGGTAAACTGCTCCACGTTGACCTCAAAGGAGAAAAATGTTTCTACAAATGGCAACAGAACCATGAATAACCAACATCTCAGGTCTGAAATGAATTAAAGTGGTGACAGGCATACAGCACAGTGCCGGGGGCGGGGGGATGGTGTCAGGATGCACATGTCAAGTAAGTTTCCCCCAACAATAACCAGAGCAGACATTTCTGTCATACTTCTGAGGCAGCACTTACCAATTTAGCAACTTTTCCATAGTCAATCCATCTGACAGAGGCAAAATTGGTCGATTCTGCACAATTGAAACCGTGATTAAAACCAGCATGATACCCATACGGGAAAGTAATCATAAATTCGCCCGCCTCTTGGGTGATCTGCAGAGTAGAAAACAGATAACGTGTTTTCAGTTGTAAGACTTTCCAAATTGTGAACACAACTGAAAATGTGGCTTATGAAATACACGGGAAAAAAGCTCACGGTAACAGAGCTGACCCCCTAACATCTTTAATTTCGTCGTTTAATACTATTTCTCAGGA